TCTTCCAAAATTCTTTCTCCCTGGTTTGAAGGATACGTAATTTATAAGTTATATATAAAAATTTTCATTGAGGAGGGTACTTCAGGCTTTTTGTGCAGTCTACAGAACATCCAAATTGAGCCAAAAAACAGTGGAAGAATTAAACAAGTTAGAAAATCACATGCACACAAAGAATAGGAGATAAAGGACAGAGAAGGCTGTTAAAGCAGTTTTCCAAAGTAAATAGCCTAGATCAAACTGAGAGCTGAATATTTAGAAAGTTCAGAAGTAGCCCTTCCCAGAAGAACCAATATTGGCACTACTGAGTTTAAAAAACAAAACAAAAAAAAAACCCACAAAATTTCCAATACATGTAACTGTTTTGTGTTAACTGCTTACATATAGATCACAGCTTTGAGCTCTTCACTGTCTTTGATCCTAGAATATAAGTAACATAAAGGAGAGTATGGCGTTTACCTCAGTTCCATTTCCAGGAACACAACACTGTTCTCATCTATCAAAAAATGAAGATTGTTCCCTAATCTCCCTCAATAACAACGCGTTCCATCTCAAAACAACAAAAACAACATCACCACCAAAAAACAAAAAAACAAGAAAGAACTCAAACACAAAATATTTTGTAAGAAGTAAACTAAAAAGTCACCTTGAATTCATACTGGAAAAAACACATTCAGAGATTTGACATCTATGTATGTTAACTAACTTAATCTAACCATCAGAACCAAAAATTGGACATACAAATACACAGTTTTCTTCAGCTCACAAAGTTAGTTTGAGCTTTGTAGATTTCAAAGCATTGTGACTGAACAATTTCAAGGCTGATTTCAAGTGCAGAATTGGCTGTAGCACAGTCTCATGACCCCATAACCTGCACAGCATATTTTGTTCAACTGAGAACAGTACAAATCTCACACCAATTCAATTACTTCCTCCATACTCCCAGCAAATACAGACTAATGGACAGAAAATTGTATTCATTGATTACAATGTAAAAGCCTCTGTCTCACATAAAGAGATGGTAAGATAAAAAAAGATCTAATTCACATATTTCTGTGAAAGCATTTATGTAGGTGCAGTTATTTTGGATGAAGAATGTCTCATCATTAAGTTTATGGGAAGAACAGCCAAGATTTTTTTGTTCTCATCACATGAACAGATACTTGGGCAAGGAAAAAAGCAAAAATCATTAAGAGCAAACGATGACAATCAAATTAAATAGAAAAGAAATCTTCTGTGATGCATTTTTCTAGTTTTTATGTTTACTCTAATTCTTACAGCTAGTTACTCTCAATATGCTACTGAAATTAACTTTTTTTTCTATTAGCATAAATGTAAAAATAAAGTACAAGTGTGTACTGTACCTTGTTTTACCTGTAAGGAACACACACCTGACAAAAGGCAATCTTCACATCCAGGGTAGGTTCACCACAATAGTACAACAAATGGCGGCTCATAAATACCTACAATTAAAAAGAAAATAAACATATACATTAGTATGCTTGCTAACACAGAAGTACAGATGTGCATTTGGGTCATGAAGCCACCCTGAGTTGCTACCCAGCTCTTGAAAAGAACAAATTGCTTAGAACATTGCTGGGAATGGCTTTAAAGTCATTTTAATGCTCACCAAAGCAACAGCCTCCAACAGGGCTTGCTTACGTCAGCAAAAGTTTTAGAGTAACTGAAACCATTAGCTCAAATTTTCTCATCACTTGTATACTCCTATAATCTCACCAAATTCAAGTCAGCGTGTTGTATACAGTGCAGGAATGAGAAATAGCGTTGTGGGGAGGAAAGGAACAATCTCTGTGTTGTCAATTATTAGGAAAATCAGAGAAAACAAGAGAAACTAATTATTTCTCTGTGTAAGTTCACAGCCTACCACTTCATGAACAGTACACGTAGTTCTGCTCCTCATCTTAACATCGTACAACTTGGAAAGATGCAGAAAAGGGCAGGAACAATGCTCCAAAGCAGACACAAAACAACGGCATGGACAGATCTTTTTTAGTAAGAGAACTGACACAGGATATGCTGGAGATCCATCAAACAAGTGGCACAGCAGCAGCGAGAAGCAGAACATTTCTTTTTTCATTTTAAAGTAGACACAGTCTGGCATCAAATTAAGTTGTCAAATACCAGGCTTAGTATAAGTATAAGGAGATAGTTCTTCACCTTCAGTTTCTTGAGACTGTAAAGCTTCCTGCCTCAAACTGCTGTGGATGTCTGAATCAACTTTGGTTTTTACACACTGCAACAAATTCACATAATACGCCTTCTGAATCTATTTACCTGAAAACTATCACCTCAGACACAAGGCAATCCCAAATTACTGTCTGCCACTATGTGCTCAGCCAACTGTTGTACACTATCACAGCACCTGATAGTGGCCAAGGAGGCCACATACTGGCCTAGACAAAACTATGTAACACATTATAGCTCTTCAAACATTTTAAATTCCATAGTGTCGCACTCAGCTCTGACCAATCAAAGGTTTCAATGTTGCATTCTCACATGGGAAATAATGTACAGAGATGTTATCAGGGAGCTACATCACAAGCCATTGGAGCATATTGATTTTCCACTCCAAAAAATTAAAAAGCAAAACACTTAACATCACAATTAGAAACCAGCAACCTTAGTGAAAAAGAGATGAATAATATAGAACCTCACATTTTTCTTACAAATATGAACTCATTACGGTAGCTGAAAATGCATCCATGACTCCATTAAGACATGATTCTGAAACTGAGTCCCCACCTGTAGGGCCCCCTCTGACATGCACTGCTCTGTCATAGGCATAATAGCTAACTGTAGCAGTAGATACTCCTAAATAAAACAAAACAAAGATCAAAACGACTGGAGTAACTTCAACTCTCAGAAAGTTAAGAAACAACAAGAAAGTATTCGCTGATACCTACAAACTTGAATGCATCATGTATCCTGTGTGTTTAATTTTTAATGAATGAATGAATAACACGGTTATGAAAGCAAGCACATGACCTTTCTGCTTCACATTACAGTGTCTGAGACTGCTGCCTCACTGCCCAGTGAGTCATTGCTGGAGCCTCACATCCCACAGAGGGTTTGTGTTAGAGCAAGAGGAAGAAATATATATATTTTTTTTTAAATAAGAAAAAAATAATTAAAAAAAAAAAAAGCTTTTAACATGAGTCATATGCTCAGTGATTTGTGGAAAGCCAGCAGATAATTACAGTCCCACACTGTAGATATATGCTCTATGAAATCCTATTGGCTGGATATACAATACTGCTCCAATAATCAATAACTGATATGTCATTAGTCAAAACACACCATATTCCACAGTCTAACAATGGAAAGTGAAGAAAGTAAGGGACGGAAATCCAGTTCCTCACTGAATCTACTGTAAAGTTTCACTGAGAGGATGAATTCTGTCCTGCATATGCATTATGACTCATACATGGCCCCTCTGCTTCCCACCAGAATGACCATAGCTCACAATAATAATCCAGAACAGAATAATAAACTGGTAACATTTATGAGCTAGAAGACGTTTAACTATTTATTATGTTGTCCCTGCATGCAGCCACTGTTGTAAAAATAACAGAAATATGATATGTTTCATTGGCATGGATCAATAATCATATTCATCTGTACATGAGGTAGATCTAATGACTCAGATGGCCAAGAATGAAAATAACTTTCTGTAGCAGTTTTGTAAGACTGCATACCCACAGCAAAAGAGACTTGAGTTCATGTTTTCCACAGTGAATGTCTTTGTACGCAGAACCTAAAGGAAATTTCCTTTGATGTCCTGTATGTAATCACATGTAACTTCTATTTTCTTAACACAAATGCACTTAACTATCCTCAATCATGCCTTGCCCATGTATCATACGAGGCAAAGTAAAGAAAATGAAGAAGGTCTGATGCTGGGATAAGCACAGCACAAAGCAAATATCAGCAAGAAGATACTTATAAACAGCTGCACATGCTAGGATCTGAGTGTTGTTTGGTGAGAGCATGAGTTTCTAGTATTTCTTCAACCTTACTTTTGACTCTTCATATTTTCTGCCTTGAGCAAAATTATCCAAGGTGGTTGAACAATGTTGATGCTACAAGACATCTTGAGACAACCACAGCTGCAATGAAGCTGAGTAGCTAGAGACCACAGCAGCAGCAGCACAGAGAAAAAATGTCTATGAATCAGCAACAACACCGTAAGATCTCACATTTTCATTGGGATCAAATTAGTTGTATATCAGAACCTGTAAGAGCATCCAGTTCTCAGCAGCAAAAATACCATGATCTAGTTTCAAAAAAAAACCGAAGGAGGCATTACAAAGGTAGGATGGAAGTTGGAGAGAGGGCACATCTAACGAAGTGACTGCTTGTACTTGAAACATGAGATAGGTTGGTTTAGTGCAGTTGCCAGCTCAGAAGTTTACTTTGATCTTACTTCACTATGCAGCTTTAGCTTATTCAGACTGAGGATAAAAAATAGGTTGGAGGCTACTACCTGCTAACAAAAAAAGCCAAACTTCTATTTTACTTAATTTTACTTCTTTTAGATATACATAGACACAACATATTGCATGGCAACAGCAGAGGCTTGCTGAAAGACCTGCTTTCTCCTAAAATCCAAAGAGAAGTTCTCATAGAATAAAGGCAGCATCTTTGCTTTCTGAGCCACGCATCTTCCCCTTACCAAAGACAAGCATTTTCCATCTTTCCTAACAATGAATACACACGTGCTAGTAATACGTGTCCTCTGACTGCTCTCCTGCCAACAGCTCCTCTTCCAAACCAAGTGGGCCTGTGATATGCCCAGCATTCATCCAGGAACTTTCCCTTTTCATTTTTTTGCCACACTCATCTCTTCTGGAGAAGGATTGCTTGTTTCTAATGAGGAATAACTCATTATTATTCCAAAACCTCTTGTAAAAGCAATGGGATTAAATCAATAATATTAGTATAATTGCTGAGAGCAGAAAGGAAGCAGGGTGATGACAGCAGATAAAGCAAAGTAGAAGAACAACAGCAGTTCCAGCTCTCCCATATGACCTCACTGAGCTGAACCTTCCTGCTGCTCCCTGAGCACCTTCCTCTTCTCACAGCTATGTGATGTTGATGCATGGTTTTGGGCAGTCTGGCTCCTAGCCTTCTGGCCTTGTCAGCACTTTTTCATCCCCACGCTGGACTTAGTTGACATTAACTGGCTTCTGGATCATACAAGATCTTCTGTTTGCTGTAGGTCTGTGAGGTGCTGCCTTTGCTATATGGCCCTAGGAGCATCTCAGCATATGCTGTGTTGTCTATCAGCTTCTCTTCTCACCCATCCTTCACAAGATCTTGGGTAGAAAAAAAGCATCACAGGTACTCTTCAGGGAGCCTCTTTCCATGGCTACTTCTTATCTCCTCATTAAGAGGCAACTTCCTTCTTCCCAATGGAAGCTAGAAATCATTCCCAGCCCCATCCAGTGTGATAATCTTAGCAATACATGGAAATGATATATTCATATCAAGAATCAAGCCCATCATTTTCTCATTATTTGGCATTACCAAATGGATAGACCACTTGTGTCATGGGCACATTGACTGCTCCCTACCTTCACAGGGACATGGCTTTATACTCATACTACAGGAGACTAGATTTATTTGCTGTGATCATTCACTGAATATCATTCATGAAGAGAAAGAGCACAAGCTAAAAATTAATGAAATTTCATGAACATTTAATGTGATTTAAATATATCCATATGTACCTTGTTCCACATCAGCTAAATGGGGCAGTGTATCATTGCAGCCACCACAGAAAACCTTGCTGAAAAGTAGTGATGTTCAAAGCTGAACACTGATGAATAATTAATGTTTCCTGTTCTGAAAATGAGTTTGACTCATTTCATACATTTCCAGGGCTGGAATCCCTGTCTCTTCCATTTGAAAATAGACAGTCTCATCACTGGTTTATCAGTGAGAAATGCCCTTGGGATCCCACTCCCATAACTATGGTTTTATCTTCTCTGAAATTTGGCAGTTCATTTCTGTAAAAATAACACAGAAAACACTGAAAAAGTGACAGAATGTTGTCAGTACATCACAGCTTTCTACTTCGTATCTGGGTGCCCTGAAATACTGGAGACTTGACCAAAGTCCTACAGCATCATGATTTATATAAGGAGAGAGCAGCAATTTCTGATCCCCATTGCCATCACGTTTTGGACATGTTTCTGTTGTGCTGGTGTGCTGTATCAAGGAGGAAAGGCTGCATTTTGTTTAGACATTTCCTATCATTGCTGCCAGTTGTGACTGGGATGCATCTGCGTAAATATCCTATCAAATTAGTTTTCAACACAAATTCTTCAGGGTCATCAGCAACTTTTACAGAACTTAACTTTTTGCTCATATGTATTTTCAAGCACAACAACAGAGAGTTTTCAATATCAGTTTGAATTACACCAACTGATTGGCAAGAAGT